CCGGGGACAGGTGGGAGGCCGACAGCAGGCGCGGGCTATGCGCGGACCGCCCACCCACCCAGGCGGGAGCCGTGCAAGATGCGCTCTGGCTGTTTGGGCTTGAGACGTCACACTCGCTATTTGAGCCTTCCAGTTGACAATGAGCTCAAGCCACTTACAGCCAGAAGACGTTAGGCATTTACTCCATCTTCAAGTCCCGAAGGAGGAGCGCAAGGTGGAAGACAAGTGGTGGCAAGGGTGAGCAGGACCAGGCCAGGGTAGGGCCACGGCTCTCCTCACGCCCTCACGCTTGTCTTTCTTACAGAAGACTCTGACATCAGGGACATGTCCAGCAGTGCCCCAAGAACTGTGGAGCACCCCCAACCTGAGGTCAGTGAATCAGAGCACACTCCTTTTTATATCCTAAGACAGGGAGGCTGGAAATGGTTCAGGTCCATCCTTGGTCCCTGAGCTGGTGACCAGGTGGACATGCAGATTCCTGGGTTTCAGCATCAACAGTTCAGTGCTCCTTGACTCATTAAGAAGAGGGTTCTGGGAGGGGCTGCCAGGAACCAGAAGGTGATACAGCTGCAGATAGCACCCTAAAAGGGTCTGCTTCCTGGCCCGGAAGCCTTACTGCCCACTCCACACTTATCCCTGGTCAGTGAACACACTCATCTGAGCCGTCTCCCGTTTCACTTCAGGTGTCTATTCTGGCTTTTGCAAACCCGAATGTCCACATGGAAAGAAACCATAGAAGTAGAGAGAAGCCACACGCTGCTCTCCTCAGGTCCAGGGCTGAGAGCCGTGTAGGCCCTCTGGTCCTGGAACACAGGCAGTCAAGAAGGCGTCTGTCCTGCTGCCCCGTGATGGGAATGATGAGCAGAGCTCCACGTCCTATGGATTTCGGGCCAACCAGTGCTATCAAACCACGGTTTTTAAAGCAGCAACAAACTAGAACTAGTCAGAAAAAGTCTCCATTCCTGATGACTCGGGCACTCTAGAGGTGACCTCGGTCTGTTTAACAAGCTTTCCAGGTGAGGTGATGAAGGGGCAGTCCTCCAGCCTCAGTTCCAGGGCTTCATGTGACTGTGCAGCTTGCAGAGCCTGGAATTTGATTTTTTTTTTTTTTTTTATGCTGCGTTCTTGTTTAACAAGACCAGGAAAAAGCAAAAAGGGACCATTACCAACTGATCTATTGGGTGCTTGCTGCATGCCCTGGGGCATGACCTTGTTAGTGCCGACACTGCCCTATAGGAAGCTGCTCTTGTCTCTATTTTAAAGCCAGAAAACAGAATCAAGCATGTCAAATAATCTGTTGAAAGTCACACAACCAGCAAGTGGCAGAACTAGCTACAAACTCAGGCTTGGGTTGGCGCTAGAACCCAAGTCCCTGACTTAACACGGCACTGCTCATGACTAAAAGAAGACTCCACCTTTCTTTGTATGACATACTGAAAAAAACAGAATCATGTGAAATATATATTGATGGAAATGTGCTTTTCTTTTTAACGTGTTGAATTTCCTAATGTCCACGATGAGCACGTATTAACAGTTATGACCAGCGTAGTTTTTAACGTTACAAATTCTGTGGAGGGCTCAAAGGCCATCCTTGGCCCCCGAGAAGACTAGAGGTCACTTTCTACATGTTTGGTGGCTACAGAATCAGCCAAACTGGGGAATGGTGGATAATCTGCTCAGCAGCGAGCCCCGGGTCAGAGGAGGCAGGCCAACGGGTAGCTGTGAGGTAGGTGGCATGTGAGGGGTGCAGGGACAAAGGCACAGGTTTAAGGACTATAGTGGGTGAAGGAACCAAGCCTTCCTGTTGAGAGTGGGCTTCTGTGGGTCTCAGACCTTGGTTTTTCTCCTGCAGCAGAGCAAGGCAGCATCACCTGTGACCCCAAAGCTTTAAGATGGACAACCACAAAGTGGGCTGTGGCGTCATCTTTGGCGATCACTGGCACAAGGCCACATTCAGGAGCATCTTCTGTCCCCTTTGCCTAGGAACTCCTGCTAGTCTCCGTGAGGGGAGAGGCCATGTGGAAGCACTTTGTCCTCCTAGCCTTACTCAGTCACATGAGCTGGCATCCTCAGTCCCACTGCAGTGGCCTTCTGCCACCCCACATTGCCAGTGTGCAGGTGACTTTGTGAACATTGACTACAACTCCCTTTAATCAGCAAGTCAAGTAAAAATAATTGAGCAGGCACTCTACTTACTAGAAGTGTCACCAACATCTATGTGCTGGAGCTCAGCGCACGAAGTTCTCACAGAAGCCACAGTGAGTGAGGAAAGTGACACAGGAAGGCTGTTATTTTGCTTCCTGGGAGAGGCTGGCATTCACAGCATTGTGAGGCTCCCGTGCCCCAGGAGAATGAGGGTCCCATGCCCCAGGAGAGAATGAGGCTCCCGTGCCCAGGAGAATGAGGGTCCCATGCCCCAGGAGAGAATGCTTTCACGTGTCTTGGCACCAAGGGCTCCAGTGTATTGACCATGCAACAGAAGTTTCTTTTTGGTCATAAAATATAAAATTAGGGTAACTGGCTCCAAGGTCTAGAGATGAGGGAAGAGGGGGTCACCCCACTCACTCAAAGACACCACCCTTCCCTTAAACAGGTCCCTGCAGCAGCCTCATCACCACCCATTTCTAAAGTGTTCCTAAAATAAAGGAGCGTGTGTGTGTGTGTGTCCTCAAAGAAGCTCTAACTACCTCGAGGCCAGCAGGGAACGGGAGAATGAGAAACTGGGAGTCAGAAAGTTCCATGTCCCGAGGTCTGCTTGGTGGCCAGCCCTGCACACCTGGCAGTCACTTCACACTGCAGCCATGTCCCCTCCCTGCAGCTGTCGTGTGGACTCAGTTCAGTACCCACATCCTCCCCAAAGGCTGCAATGACTGGCCTCCAGCTAGAGGGGCCCGGTATGGCCTCATTTTAGGAGCACATATACACAGCATCTATGCAAATGCAACGCCAAGCCCTGGGCACTGGCCGGCAAGGTCCCTGTAAAAGCAGTGCTGTGGCCAGAGACCAAGGTCAACACAGTTCTCTGCAGCCTCCTGGCCTTGCCTCTGCTCTCCTGTTTGGAAGGGGAAGAAATGTTGCAGGCTGTGTGTGAGGTGGAGTGCGTTGGTGGGGAGGCGCGGAGGAGGAGGCCAGAGTGGACAGGATGCTTTGCCGAGATGCCCTATTGGGTAGGCCTGGGACGAGCCTGGCCCCATGCTTGGGACGATGGGCTGATAATCTACCATGGAAACTGAGCAGAAGCTACCAGACATATTCCCTCAACTTTCTAGGTCATTTTTCCCTACAGGGTTTTGCACACAAAAGGGCTGGCAGCTTTATTCCTCCCTTAGACCAGGCTCCTCCATGGTCTCTGCCAGGCTCCATCATGTAGCCCAGCTTCTGCCCACATGGAGGTGTGGGGAAAGGGGACACAGGCCGCAGGCCCACTCTCTTGACAGGAGTGGCTACAGCAGCCCACGCTCAGAAGTCCCTGCCCATGCCCATGGGAAGCCCAGCCAGGGAGAGACCCCACTATGTGAGTGGCAGGGCTATAGCTGGGGGCCGTAGGAAATGCTCAGGAGGGTGTGGGAGCACGTGGGGTGCCCTACAAATGCTCACAGTGGATGCTTCACTTTCAGTGCACAGACACTTTCTAACCCTGATATATAGATTGGAGTCTGATGTGCTTAGATCTCAGGATGGAAAGGTTTCTAAAGAAATACTCCAGAAATACCAGAATTCAGATGTAAAAAACCGTGTGAGAATCAAGAACAAAGCGGGCAAGGCAGAGGGAGCCCGTGACCTTTCATCCCAGCGCCTTCCCCACCAGAGACAGTGGCGATCCGAGCAGCGCCATTTGATGCAAATGCCTCTCAGAAAAGCGCCAGTGGATAATAGATAAAAAGATTATCTGTGACATTATGAAAAATGAAAGTTTAAAAATGGCCACATGTCCCCAGGGGGAAAAAAAAATTCCGAAACTTTATTCAGTCTTGTTGAAAGGCAAGAGAGAAGCCGTGTTCCGTTCAGCCTGCCTCTTGCCCATTGTTCTGATGCCTTCCCCAGCTCATCAGTTTAAAACACCTTGCCTGCTGGCTTCTCTTTGCTGGAAACACAAGGTCCGAGAAGCTACTACAGCTGTTTCTTTCCCTAACTTGATTCAGGTGCTGCGGCTCCCACGCCCCCTCCTCTGCCCCCGCCCCTCTGTGCAAGACTCATCTGCACACACTTGACTTAACAGGTGAACCAGAGGTTCAAGGCATGGGCTCCCAAGCAGCAGAGTCTGATTTCTGTCCAGGTCTCTTCCAGAGGCTCAGGATGGAATCTCAGATTTAATGGGCCAGGACCAGCTGTGAACCCCTCAGCTGGCTATGCGGATTTCTTTCTTTGCTGGAGAGAGGAGGAGAGATCCTAGACCTTCCATCTCCCAGGTTCTGGCACTCCTGCTCCACAGCGTTTCTTTTAAACAGCACTTCACGAGTGTGTCCCAAGACCCCAGGAAGTAGTTGATGCGTTGGACCAACCATGTGGATCTCAAGTTGGCTGACATGTTGAGGAACCTATCTGAACACTGAGGCCCTAAAAATGTGCCACTGCTTCCAACCAAAGGGGAGGCACCAGTTCAGTGTGAGGGTCTAGAAAGAGACCACCTGGTTCAGATTCAGTTTTGCTGCCTGCTAGCTGGGCTTCTATTGAAAAAGCCTCAATATCTGAATTTCTCCATTTACCAAACAACTATAGTAAGATTATTGGGTTGAATCATATAGAATTGTTGACATTTGAACATTTTGAATAAAGTTAAGATTATTAGTTGGAACCACATAAAATTGCTGACATTTGATTGTCTCTGACATAAAAAATGGTGACTTCCTATGGCTCATCCAGATACCTCGAAGGTGGTCGATGTGGACAAAAGGCAGAGAGCCAGAGGAAGCTGTACCAAAGTGCCGGGTACACAGTGGTGCTCAACAAAGGTCAAGCTGGCACTGTATTGTCAAGAACCTGACAGTAATCACACGCCTGTATCCCAGCGCCTGGGGAGGCTGAGGCAGGAGGATCACGAGTTCAAAGCAATCTCAGCAAAAATGAGTGCTAAGCAGTTCAGTGAGACCCTGTCTCTAAATAAAATACAAAATAGGACTGGGGGTGTGGCTCAGTGGTCAAGTGCCCTTGAGTTCAATGTCTGGTACCCCAAAATAAAAAAAGAAAACATAGAAAGGGCTGGGGCTGGGGCTCAGTGGTTAAGCACCTGGGTTCAATACTGGTACAAAAAAAAAAAAAGACCATGGTGTTGTATATCAAGCTTAAACTCTATGTCTTCATGACTCCATCTTTTATTTTGGGGGATGGGGGTACCAGGTATTGAACCCAGGGGCACTCGACCACTGAGCCACATTCCCAGCCATATTTTGTATTTTATTTAGAGACAGGGCCTCACTGAGTTGCTTAGGGCCTCACTGAGTTGCTGAGGCTGGCTTTGAACTCTCAATCCTCCGCCTCAGCCTCCAGAGCCTCTGGGATGACAGGAGTGGGCCAAGGCATCCAGCTTCATGACTCCATCTTTTGTCTCATTTCCTTTTGAAAAATCCCTTCCCATGTGGAATCTCTCCCATTCTGGGGCCATTTTATCCATTCCTGGGCACTCTCAAAAGTCAGTTGGTATGACTAGAATTATACCTAAACCTATTCAAACAGATATTTCAAAAATACGCTTGAAAATAAATGTGAACTGTAAAATGCACAAATAATGGAGGATACGGTGGTGGCCCTTCTTTGTTGTCCTGATGTCCAAAGCAGAGCCCCATCCAGGCTCCCAGGCACAGCATTTCTGGTAGCAATCCCTAAGATGCCTGACCCTAAATAGTTTCCTTTCCTATACACATGCATGTGCACGCGCATGCACACACATTCGCTCCCGTACTTTAATGAAATCAATCCCCAGTGGACTAATCATAATTATCTTGAAAGTTTGCTTGCTTCTTTTTAAATTACAAAATACTTCTGGACTACAAAAAAAAAAATTGGAGGATAATATAAGGATATATGTAAGGGAAAACTAAACAGCTGTCCTCCAACTTAAGAAATATGTATTTCAGATCTCCCTCACAGGTGAGCATGTCACCAACATGATATTTATTATGAACAGCATGGCATTTATAATTCTGCTATAGATATATGTAAATACAAACAGGATGTGATACATCCCCTGTTTGGAAAATAAATGTGAACTGTAAAATGCACAAATAATGGAGGACAGGCGTGTGGCCCTTCTTTGCCTCCAACCACAGCTGGCTGGAAGCTGGACAGCACTGATTTGGAATTTATTTCACTGGCTTTGTTTGGTATCTGACCTTCTACTCCTCTTAGGCAAGGGGTTTGATTGTGGTTCACGGGGCCTCTTCTGGTTTGTTATTTGCTATAAAGAAACTGGCCAGATTCTGCCTGAGTCAGGTACCAGATCACAAAGAAGTGAACCAAGGTATGCTTAAGAGTACAGGCC